CCAATTCAAAAAGTATTTTGAGGTCAGACTATTCAGTAAGGGTTAAATTAATAATTAGCAAAGGCTATGTTCAATTTTCGAGATTATTTGCAAGTGCTTACTATTTTAGGCTAGAATCAGTAGCAACAGATTGCTCAAAGGAATTGAATTTAGGAGACAGTGCTGCCATCGCTGCAGAAATTTACTACGAAAATGAACTGCAAGCACTGTTCGCACCGGCTTGTTACAATGGTACAGCTATTTCTCGTTGAGTTCAGAAGAGCACACATAATATTGCTGCAATTTTTAATAAATTAGTCAGAAAATTAGATGGAAATAACGAAGTATTAAGAAGGGTTTCCTCAGTTTTTAGTTGCTCTGTTCGAAAATTCTTTTGGGTCACATTAATATCATTGCTGTTATCATTATTAAATAGTTGTTTGTTCGTTTAACATTTTGTTATTATTTGCATAACTTGTTGCCTATATTTTTTGCTGACAAATAATTCATATAAGAACTCATAACAAAGTTAAGCACATCACAAATTCTCTGTTAATTTTATATTCAAATTTTGCTTCTAAAGCAGTAAATGAAAAATGAGAACTTAAATAAATGGAAAAAATTAGAACTTAAAATGACTTCTTGTAAGCTTTTCTATTTCAGATTTAGGAATTGTTGGAAAATTAACTAAAGAATGGAATATTTTGCAAATTAATTTTGCAAGCGAGCATTTTGATGATTACAGCTTTGTTGTGCAAGTTTGAACACTTATTTTTCTTTGACAAAAAAATTATTTGCCATATATTTTACAAAAATATACGCAACTTCTATTTTACAAAAATAAGGATTACATTAAATTATGGATTACATTTTAAAAACCAATTTGAAATATTTGTTTAGCATAAAATATATATAACTTCTATTTTTGTAAAATGGATTTGTAAAATAGAAGTTGCGTATATTTTAGTGCTTGACAAATATTCCAAATTGGTTTTTTAATGTAATCCATAATTCAGTAACTAACATTGCTGTCACTACTTTTATCCTTTTTGATATCAGGCTTTTTTCAAAAAACTTTTGCATAAATAAATTCAAGATTGATAGCATTTTAAGGTTTATTATGCTTTATCAAATTGGCATTATTTTACAGACATCAGCTTTATCATCCCTGAATGCTGCTTTCAACTTGGTTGCGGTTTTCGAAATGATGTCATGGAATAAGGTGAAGTATAATACAAAACTTTATTTTGGCAGTAACTTGAAAAAAGAAGTACAGTACTTTTATTAATTCATTACTGATGTAAATTTTATATTACTTCAGAACTTGAATTCATTTTATTTACACAAAAAATTCCAATTGTTTTAAAAACTCCAATCTCATACACATACTACTAATAGTAATGAAGCAAACTGTTGCCCAGAATCCAGTTTTTCTAACTTTGAATTGCTCATCTTGTCTATTCTTAATTAATACTATTCCAGTAATAGTTTTTTTCAAGCATTTTGAATCTATTAACAGGTAGCTTTAATTTGGTCTGTGACGGCATTCAAGAATAAATATGTCACTAAAGTAAGGATTAACAATATCCGGAGAATATTCACTCTGAAGGGAATTACTTTATTGCACGATGTCAGTATTAACTTATCTAATAGAACTCAATCATTAGAAGCTACATTGTCGGGAATCAAAGAAACATCACGAAGTAATTCGCATGAATTTAGAGTAAACTTGCTAATTTTCATAAATGTTTTATAAATTTTAAAAAGTTTCATTGAAATCTTACAAAATTATAAGTCAAACTGCAAAAAGTTTCAGTATGGATTCCAATATTTGGATATACTCTCAAAGATTATATGGAATTTTTGAGGGCAGTGAAAAAAATTAACTTAGACCTTACTGTTTATGTTATCATTTTGCTGGATTTTTTCGTACTGAAGGAATTTCGATTGCCATGGATCCTTCCTGATCAGAGCACAAATAAAACTATAAAATCGTTGTATGATAAAACTGTCATTGCAAGTATTTCTCTCGATTTATATTCACCAAAAAGTCATTTCATCTTCTAATGTCTTGTATTCAGATAGATAATTTGAAAATTAATTCTTATTGAAATTAATTCTTATTGAGTTAAGTTCTTGTTGGATAGGAATAAAACTAGCGATACATAATTATTTTATTATTTATACAATAATTTACTTGTCTAAATTTGAGCTGATATATTTTTTGATATTTTTGTTACGACTTATTTCAGCTTGCCAATTATTACTATGCAAAAAGTGATTTGTCGTTTATAGCAGAAAATAGCACGAGTGACATTGATGATGTAAATAAGTCTTTGGCTTTTCAATTAAAATTTTAAGTTTCCAATTTAGAATAAATCGCTGAAATCGACTGAAACTGACTTTGAATTTATCTTCTGAATTGCACAGCCAGTAAAAGCAATGGAAAACTGTTAGAAGTAGAGTTAAATCAATTAGATCAAAATTATTGTTACAAATTGATCAAAAAAGTTCTGCAAAAATTATTTACTCTAATAATCCGGCGGAACTATACACAATCCTTCTTACTTAGAAGCTTAGATTGTTTGCTTTTCAGCTGACAGTTGTTTTATATGCTCAGGTCTATGAATCTGGCTGGTTATTTTCCACGATTATTCGTGATTTTTTCTATGACAAGCAGAATCACACAAAGCATAATGGAGAAACAAATTCTCTTGCAAAATCTGTTAAAAATAAGCATTTTAATGGTTTGTCATGCTTTGACAGTGAACTGTAATTAGATTTGTGTATGCCAATTGCATTTCTCAGAGCAAAAACATAAAAATCATTTCACGTAATATTACTAAGAGATTAAATATCACTTATCACTAGCAGCATACTTTGAGTAAAATTAATTAAATACAAAAGTAATTAGGACCCTTTGGTCCGATATCGCTAAATGAGTACGCAATTCGGATTATTCCATTTGACGTTGGATATGTCGAAGTTTCAAAGGATAAACCTGTCAAATTTGCCAAATTATTTTTGTCAAACATATGTGATGTGCCAGAAGGAACAATGGGAAATAATCGGAGTTGCGTGAAATTGGTAAATTTTTCAGCTTCTTTTTCTTTCTTGCCAACATTCACTACGTGAAATACGTCAACTGGTTAAGCAGAATTATTGAAATGAAAAATAAACAACTATATGTGCTACAAAATTTTACATATCAGTCGCCATTGAAATTTTATAAAGTTGAAATATTTGTTTGACTTAATTTGAAAATTTAAAAAAATGGAATATTAAAATATTAATTACTCAAAGTGTCAAGAATACAGAATCCCTCATTTTATTTGCTTCTGATGCAGTGATTAATCATTTTGTTGTTTTCTTACTTTCTTTCAAAAATAAATTTTCAGTTTTATGCAAGAAAATTATGAGAAAAAGTTGAGTTACATTAATAATCACTGTATTTATTGAAATTTGAGATAAAGCAAATTTTCAAAAAAATTGTTATAAAATGAATATAAGAAAAATTTCTGAATACAAAGTTTTTTGTGAAGGTTTTTAGAAAGGAGCAATAAAAAATTACCATACAAAAATAAGTGAACAATTTCCTGCAGACGTGCCCCTATGTGGCTTTGATGGAAACCTTTGCGATAATACAAGGTAAAATAGATAAGCATTAGAATCTTTTGTCGCACGAAATGTTATCAGAAAACAACAAATTCCAATCTTTCAATAAATTTAAATACGCAGAAAATCAGAAACTTCAGAATGAGTAAATAGTATGTATTTAAGCAGCAAAAAGCAATATTTGATCAAGTTTGAGATTTGATCAAGCTAAAAACTTGACCTTTATGTAAACTGTGGTATATTTTAGGATTGCTTTATTAATGGTGTTCGTGATGATGGTGTTCATTTTATTCTTCTGTGCTTTTATTGTCTACCGCAAACTGTATGTTTCAGAGGAATAAAAGTTTTTAACAGTTTTGTTCATTAAGAGCAATATTTTCATTCATCCCAGTAAAGTTAATTAGAAAAATAGAAATGGAAGTAAGCTGCTAGAATTATAGAAAGACTGGTGAGAGTGCACAAATGCCATGGGCGATTCCTTACCATGCAATTAGATTTGCTGATTCTGAAGCATCTTCGGTAATCACTTTCGTTATTTGTCGTAATTAATTGATTTTCTTGTTCAATTTAATCAGAAAATATTAAATTTATCAGTAAAAAATTTCTTTATTAATAAAAAATGAGCATAAAATATTTACTTTTTGAAAAGCTATACTTGATTTTTAATCTGCAGATGATATCAGTACACAGTTTTCAAATTAAAATGGATCGAAAATTGAATTTCAATGACTTGCTAAGAAATCGACGGTTTGCTACAGTTGAACTTGGAACAGTAATCGTAGAAGCGTACAATCTTAGTGAACGATTACTTTTTGGTGATTCTGATATGGCATTGCTACATCAGGTGAATTATTTTTATTAATGAGATCAACAGGGCATGAAATGAATCAAAGTTCAGGGGAACTTTTCTCTGCTTCTGAAAACTTCTGTAAATTAAAAATCAAAACATAGTTTCTAAATAGTAAATATTTCGAGCCTCATTTTTATTGACAAATTACAAACAAAATAGATTTTGTAGACTGATTTAATATTTGTATAATAAATACAAGCTTTATCATCAAACTATGAATGAATTCAAATAATTGCAATTATTTTGAATTCACAGTATTTTGTTATCAAAAGCGTATTTTGTTCAACTTAAGATCAAGACTGAACTGATTGTTATATCGTTTTCAGTTTTTAAATCAACTTTTGAAAATAGAAAAAGTTTTTTCTTTTATTGGCAGAAAAATTAATTTTAATTAATATTCCCTTTTAGATGAAACAACTTGTCCACGATAACGTTAATCAGTTTATTGGGATATGCTTTGATAAGCGAACTGAATTTTACACTATTTGGAATCATTGTTTCCGTGGAACGCTTGCTGATATGATGTTTGTTAACACTGCCAGCGGTCCTGGAAAAAAAATTGATGGTCCTGCATTTGATGAAAATTTCAAACGAGCTTTTGTTCGAGATATTATTCGAGTTCGCTCTTTAATTTCAGTACTTTTACATTTTGGTACCAAACTGATTTTTACTTTCAATTTGAATTAATTACCAAAATTTTATGCAAATATCGGTTTCCCTCGCAGTTCCACGAAGAAATAATCAGATTTCAAGTTGCTTTTGCGATGAACAAAAAATTAATTTGCAAATGCACTGCCACAAGAAGGATAATAGAAGAATGTCAAAATATTTTTAAAACTGCCAACAGCTCGTTGAGACTTAAAAGTACCACAAAATTACAGAATGAAAATAATAGCAAAAATATAAGAAAAGTGCTCCGAAATTCGTTCAGTAACTTTTAACAATTAATTTAATATATTAATAACATTTTTTGCTGCTCTTTTGAATGATTTTTGAAAAAATTACAGCTATGATAAGCTGTTTGCCAACTACACGATTGTCATCGTGACTAACACATTTGTGTGCATATTTTCGATACTTATTTATAGTGCTAATATCAGTAATTCCAATGACGATTTAATAATTATAGTTATAATTGTTATGAACAAACATGATAATA